GATTTTACACATGACACGTATCTGCCTAATGCGCCAACCACGCTTCGTGGTGACAGCTTACGTTCGTGACATGACGAGACATCTTCCGGACACTTCGGTATACGCGCACGCAGCAACAGATTCGCCGCTCCTACTACTGGATACGTCTCGCAAGGACAGTGAAGCACTACGTTCGCGCATGTTGCGACTGTCAGCGACGTGAGATTCCACCTTTACGACCAGCGGGACTGCTGCAACAAATAGACCCATCGAAGGCGCCTTTTTATCAGATTGGCAAGGACTTGCTGGAATGATGTCCCATGTCTTCGTCTGGAAGCCACAGGATTGTGGTCGCTACTGACTACTTAACACGCTTGAGCGAAACAAAGGCGCTTCAAAAACTACCGCAGCAGACGTCGCATATTTACGCTAACAGCATAGTCCCACGTCACGGTGTGCCAGCCGTCGTCAGAACTGATTGTGGGGCAGCTTTCACCGCAGAGATGATGCAGGAAGTCTTGCGAATAAGTGGCACGAAACATCGTAAAGAACTGCTTACCACCCGCAAGCAAATGGGCTCAGTGCACGATTTAACAAGAGAATTGCCGACGTGCTGTATATGTGGGTGGACATCGACCACAAGAACTGGGACGATATCGTTTCTTAAATGACTTTCGCGTATAATTCTCTTGTACCAGAAAGTACCGGTTTCACAACCTTTTTGCTTAGTTTACGGTCGCGAGGTGACGACAGTACTAGACGCAATGCTCCTGCCCGACAACTTAGGAATTTATTCCTCGGATGCCACCAAGTTTGCGCAGTGCGCAAAGGACGCCCGTCAACTTGCTTGTCGCCATATTCACTCTCACCAAACCGCAGACTCACGGCGCTACAATCTTTGTCACCGTGAAGTTACTTTCAAGCCTGGTGATGAAATCTGGATGTGGACCCCTATTCGACAGCGTGGTCGTTCAGAAAAGCTTCTTCGCCGCTACATCGGTGCTTACAAGGTTGTACGACGTCTAACTGACATTACTTACGAAGTTCTCCCAGAAGACAATTTGAGACGTTCCCGTCGCCCCCGCAAACTGAAATCATTCACGTTTCAAGGCTCAAACCATACTTTGATGATTGATTGATATCTGGGGTTTAACGTCCCAAAACCACCATATGATTATGAGAGACGCCGTAGTGGAGGGCTCCAGAAATTTCGACCACCTGGATTTCTTTAACGTGCACCCAAGTCTGAGCAGACGGGCCTACAACATTTCCGCCTCCATCGGAAATGCAGCCACCGCAGCCGGGAACAAACCGTACTTTTCACGCTGTAACTGAGCAAGGAAGTGACTGTCTTTATTGGTGACTTCACGTCGTTCTTTTTGTTTCTTTCTTTTTCTTTCAATCTTTCCTCTCTTTCTGACTTTACTCCTGACTCAGAAGCGACTGCGTTATTTTGCGTCACGCCATTTATTTTGCTTCTATAGTAACCTTCGACTCATTTTAGTGTTTTTTACTTCATGTGCACGTCTCAATTCATAGGTTTTTTTTACTCCATATACAGCACGAAGACGATGCTTCTTGGGAGAGGAGAAACGCCGCATTCCAACCCTGAAGAACGAGCGCTGTGGCTCATACTCGCTTTGCATGTGAAGAATAAGAGAGCATTTTGTTTCTCTGGTTCCAGTCAAATCCTGGCGGTCGGTCTTCTTTTGTTCGCGACAATGTCAGCCTTGTCTACACTTCACTTTAGTGATTTTGTCAGGCATGTTCTGAGTGACCCCACGTGTACAACTCTTTGCCTGGTGATGGTCGAACATAAGCAGTCTGATTAGTAAAAATGAACTTGCTACTGTAGTACATAAGCGGTCTGATTAGTAAAAATGAACTTGCTACTGTTAGTAGTGCTTTGTGCTGTCTTTTTGTGCCTTCTCGTGTAGTGTTCACTTCTGTGTTACGTCGAAGATGTTCAAATGATTCCCCAGGCCTACATTCAAACCCTCGGCAAAAGTACAAGGCAGATTTTTTCGTCAAAATTTTCTTTCGGGAAAATGCGTAGCGAGGAACATAAATAGGTAATGAAAGTCACGTAATGTCGTTCATTCCAGACTCACTGACAATCGCACATTGGGCCCCTGTGTATTTGAACAAATTTAGCAAGGTTAAATGACTGTAGGCGATTGCATTGACTAAAACCTAATGAAAACCAGCCTCTATTGAAGCCAATAAAAGGTACCAGTGACTTTATTTGTACTGCCATAAGTGTATTACAGTAATTGTGATACAGATGAGCACAAAATAAAGTGGACGAAAAATGAATTTGCCGCTCGCAGAGACAAAACTGGCGACCTTAGAATAACGTGCCCGGAGCTTCTTGCGACGTTGGTCATCCTCTCGTGCACTTCATTATGAATTTATGTGCACGAAAACTTGACAATGTTAGTTAGCGCTTCTTCTTGCCATGAGGAAGGGTCATAGAGGGGTTGACGAGGCTTTGGCGAAGCAACGGAGAAAAGGAGCTGATGACCGGCCCAACGGGCGCGAAGGCACACGAGTAATTGTCGCCTAGTCGGAGCACAACGTCCTTGAGGTCAGGCTCTGTGATTATTGGACGCTAATAGCCATAATCTTAAGATAGGGAACATCCGCGCTCTTTGAGGCCGGGGACTTCCTACACGTCGGATGTATAAATAAATGTTATTTCTCTCTCTCATCTTGCCATGACGGCGAGTATCGAACACTGTTTCTTTGTCAGATGGCGTCCCGTAGCCTGTGACATCACGTGCTTTCATCATTTTTTAAAGCGGAGTCTGGCCTATAGAAAGTTATTTCGCTTATAATGGGCCGCAACTGCCTTGTGCGAGTTTGCACGTGCAATTTATTTGCAGCGCGTTATTTTAGAGTTCCTAAAAGGCTAAACAACATAACTCATGCGCCTGCTCTTCTCACTCAATACTAGGCTTATTAACATGAAGGTTGGCACCACTACGTCTACCCTTATGTCCTCATTAGGATTTGCTTACATGCTGACGCCTTCACTACAATATTTCATTACTGTGACGCCCTTGCTAAATTGATAACAAGAAGACTGCTAGCCAAAAAAACACTGCTCAGGACAGTTAAACAAAAGCTAAGAAACAAAAGCGTGTGAATATGAGCCAGTTGGTATGTATTCATACTTAAAAAAAGCGCAAGGTAAGCATGGGCGAGAAACACGCAACACGAGCCATGTGTCTGGCTTATTGGGAAACACGTGAATATACATTGAAGAGGGCTGCCCAGAGGAGGGTAAAATATCAAACTGTCTAGCGGTTGGTGCAACCTGCGGAATAAAATTGTTTAGTGAACAGAGATAAGCTATGCAAATAGCCAACTCTTTGTCTGTGAAACTATTCAAGAGTGCAAACACAAGCTGTGTCTTTACACTGCATTCAATAGCTTAGATAAGTGTGTTTAACGTTCCAAAATTAGCATATGATTATGAGAAACGCTGTAGTGGAGGGCTCCGGAAATTTTGACCACCTGGGGTTCTCTAACGTGCACTTAAATCTGAGCACACAGGCCTACAGCATTTTCGCCTCCATCGAAAATGCAGCCACCACAGCAGGGATTCGATCCCGCCACCTGCAGGCCAGCAGCCGAGTAGCTTAGCCGTTAGGCCACCGTGGCGAGGTCATTGAAAAGCTTTCAACACTTTGCATGCATCCTGGTCTTTGTTTGTACGAAGAGCCCACGTCTCTCAGAAACGCGCTACGCAGCCACACTTCACACTGGGGATGGGAAAACTGCTGCAGATTCTTGCCTTGAGGTTGTTGGCATGTTCACGTGCATTACGCAACGGCCCCTCTGCCTGCTTCTAAAGCTGCTTCATGATCACGGGATCTCGTACACCCCCTCGCACCTGCATGATGCTTAGAGGGTTGACCGCTTCTTTATATAAGACGACACTTGCTACTGCACTCTTCTCATTCACCTTATCGGGAAAAAAGCTCAGTTTGGGGGGCCGAGAATGCAACGTGAGCGCGGCTTGAACACCTTCTTTCTTGCTGTGGCGGGAGAGAGCATGCGTGTATGAGATAACCACAAAATCGCCATATTTAAGGCTGGACTAGATGAGTTACCTCAACGTACTTCTCTTAAAAGAGCTGTCGCCAACGAAGCCAGCAGACTAGTCTTGCTACTGGTACCTGCTATCTACCGGTCCTACACACCGCGCTCGAAGAAATACCCCCCTGCCATTTTCCCCAATGGATATTTTCCGGGTAGGTAGCCTGCTCATGCACGCCGGCCTCGAGGAGGCACGCCGCCTTGATTTTTGGTGGCCAAAACGTGACGACACGTGCGGACCAAGTGACATCTGGTGCCGCAAACATGCAAATGTTTTCCCGAAAGACAGGCGCGAGTGAAGTCCTTACAGTTTGCCTACCGGCATGTGGAGGGCAATTTGAGAGTCCAACATCCACCAGTTTTGATATCGGCGATCTCCACTTGGTGTGCTGTACGGACCAGGAAAATGACCATTCATTCAAAGATTGCGAAGCCGGATATCGCCGGTGGTGCCTTAAAAATGCCCTAGTTCTTCATCATGTCCGATAAATTACAAGGTCAAAATTTTAAGGATACATGGAGCCTTCTAGTTGATAAGAGGTCTTTTTTAGCAGGAAAGAGAGCTTGCTCCGGGCAGAGACTTGACCTTTGCCAGCAAGTTTGGTACCTGCCAGGGACAAATCTTGTCTTCCAATTTATCTTTCTTGACAATAATCTTACAAGTATTGCAATGTTCTTAAAAACTGAACGTTCCATATGCCTACATTGGCGTCATTATTTGCTGGTTTACATGTGGGTGTACCTGAAAAGTACCATGTTATTTGACACCCGAAAAACATTCATAAATAAGGGGCGACAGCGGACTCTTTCTTTGTACCTCCTTTTAATTGTGTTATTTTAACTCCAGCCGCCTGTATATCGTAATCTTGAAGACATAGGGGCAGCATTTACGTCATCAACTCTGCTCTGAATTCCAGACGCAAGACCTAATGTTGAGCATCTACATCTGTGACCTATACACCTTCAACAAGTAAGTTCTTGGAATTATTGTGAAACTGTCTAAATACCAGTGTTAGCACCAAAGCGCTATAAAATTTCGCACAATCGCTGAAGTAACCAAAAGCAACAAAGCCATCGAAGATAATGAATACTTGTGAGGGCTACAAACAACTTCTTTTTCATACTTCACTGTGTCAGAACAGATACAAATCATGCGGTTCTTAAGATAGCAAACACATTTTCCGCATCATCAAATGGTGATATTAGCCGTCATCGTTAGCGCCACTCTGAGGAATGCAACGAATAGCAATCACTTGATGACGTCGCCCTATGACGTATGCATCATAGGTCGCTAACATATTGGCATAGTTTGTGTTGTCGCTACGACACCGCCACACGAACGCGTCACCTTATAAAAAAGTGGACCAACGTTGGAAGCAACGCACAGCCACGTTAGGCACAGAAAACGTTCGTAGCAGGCTGCGAGCGCAGGGTCAATGAACCGGCATGAAGAAGCAAAATGTGGGTTCCGCCTTCCAGCCATCTCAGGCGAACGTGAATTCACGAAAACCTGACAGCTTCGAACATGAAAGCGTTTTGTGCCGGTGTCCACCCACGCACCACTGACGTATTTCCGTCACAGATATGGCGTGGTAAAGTATATATACTAACATATTGTGAAGAAAACTAAAAGAAAATGTTTTTTTCAACTAGCACCGAACCTACGACTATTCTCTTCGCATCGCGTTGCACGAAACTCCTAGGTCGTGGCACGTATGTTTCTATTTTGCTAATGGGTCGACCCATTTATGTACAGCCACGTGAATCTTGACCCTATCGGGCACGAGCGCTAACTTCTTGTGCGTCAGTGCTGTACGACGGACCCAAGTTCTGAATAGGTCGAGAGTAAGGGCACGCCCAGGAAGCGCGCTCAGCTGAGCCCATCGTCTGCTTAGCTGTTATTTCGTGATTTGATTAATATGTGGGTTTTAACGTCTCAAAACCACCAATTGATTATCAGACACGCTGTTATTTCGTGAGATCGTCACCCTGCATTAACTCACTTCAGACCAATAGGCTGTGTGACTTGCCCTTATCTTTCATTCCGAATATCAGCAAGCAACCCAGGTAAAAAAAAAATCTGCAGATAAGTCACACACCCCCGTGCATGATATAATCTAAAAAATGTGAATCGTCCAAAGTGAGTTAATGTATGGTGACGTTCTCACAAAGGAACAGCCAAGCAGATGATGGGCCCAGCTGGGCGCGCATCGTGGGCATGCGCTTTCTCTCGCCGTGTTTGCTACTTGGCTCCATCGTACGGCGCTGACGCACAAAAAAGTCGGCGCTTTTGTCATCTGTAGTAAGATGGCGCAAAAAGCGTCCGTTGGGCCCGCTCTGAAGGTTGTCGCCCCAGGTGTTGTGATGCACGTGCGCCTCTACAGGGCATGGTCCCTCGAGCGCGCGCGCTCATCTCGTGCGTCGGGCCGATTGGCGCTTCGTACCTCTTCTGCTTCCCCGCAAGTAGGCTTCAAAGTAATAGTGTTCAAATACAGCACAAAGGTCACTTATCTCGTTGCCGTGGCCTCGTTTACGAAAGGATCACGCTACTCACAAAAAAGTAGTAACAATTTTGACAGTTGTTGGCGCTCCCCCTATGCATACTTGTGCGCTAGTTTGTTTCGTGTGTCTCTCTTTGTATTTCACCAGCGCGCTTAAAGTTTCGGAAAGTGACATTTGTTAGTGCTCGTCATGTATATGCTCATTTCGAGCTTTCTTTGTGCTTGAGATGTACGCCGCAAATGTCGAGCTGCATGCCATTCTTCGCGTGATAATAAAATTTGTAATTGTAGTATTCATTATTTCGCCCTTCTGGCCGAACAATGCTCAATACACGCTCAACTGGCCCTGAGAAAACACGTGCCACTTCGTCTTATACTTGTTCCTGAACAAAAGAATTAACCACGTTTCTTTCTTCATTGATGCGCGTCATTTTTGGCATCAGTGCTTCGGTGCACGTGAAACTTGCGCGCAATCTGAAATTTTTTTTCGATGCAAAATTTCCGGAATGAGTGCAACATGGCGATTTTAGGTTTCATTGGGAAAGATATAAAAATCAACGTAATTATAAAACATCTTTTACATCAAAAAAGAAAAAAAAAACGATACATTTTGGGTCCCACTTGGACCCTTCTTCAGAGGTGACTGAGGGGCGCGTCAGGGTTTATGAAGCCCTCTTCTCTTCAAGTCGGGAAGTCAAGCTTGTTTTGAGGGACGTGCCATAGTCTATTCAAGTAGACCCTGCCGAGTTGTGTCACCTTTTCAATTACACATAAAATTACAAATGAAGATGCGGAGACCTTCAATTCACAGAACACTTCCGGAGTAGATTTACCGGGTGTTGCCGGATTTACCAGGACCAGAAGCAGCATTTTGTGTAGTCCTGGCACATTCAAGCAACGCCCACTATCATAACCCAGTCAGCAGATGCCCGGTCGAACGTACTTTTAACGGACTACGACTTCGCACTCATAACAAGTGTGACGCCCCGACTCGAAGAGAAGAAGAATTTATCAACTGCGATGATCTGAGTCCCGAAGTCTCGAGTCCGAAATCAACTCGAAACATGTTTTTATACGTGAAGCACTTCGCGAACAGAAGGTACGTTACTCTCTATCTCCGTATCTATTCATCTAGCTATCTATCTACCTATCTATCTAGCCCCATACATGTGGGTGTTCTCGCAATCACCGCCTTAACACTTTCGACTGTGGGTGAGCCCAAATTATTTTGGGAGGGTAAGATGGCTCGACGAATATGACTCGCTGACCATGACATGAAGCATGTAACAATGCCGTCACATATGTCGTAAAACACTTTCCGCCAGACGAGTGTGGGACATGCCCCTATACCTCTGCTGGGTATGTGTCATGTGTGATTGAGTGTTCATGCATACAGTAGAGCGACATGAACAGACACTGGTATTTTTAAAGCGAGAGCATCATGACAAAAGTCAACACCATGGCCATTGACCCGACTTATGCAAATAGATGTTTCACAGAATTCCAGTAGGAATCGAACGCAAGCATTTCTCGTGCCAATCAAGTATTATAGTACAGAGCCAGGCCAGGTTTCAATATCACTTTGGTAAAAGACACTATTCAGACCTGATTGATTGATATGTAGGGTTTAACGTCCCAAAATCACTATATGATTATGAGAGACGCCGTAGTGGAGGGCTCAGGAAATTTAGACCACCTGGGGTTCTTTAACGTGCACCAAAATCTGAGCACACGGGCCTACAACATTTCCACCTCCATCGGAAATGCAGCCGCCGCCGCTGGGATCCGAACCCGCGCTCTGCGGGTCAGCAGCCGAGTACCTTAGCCACTAGACCACCGCGGCGGGGCAGGCACTATTCAGACCTAATGCTGGTGAATTGTCAATAGTAGTTGCTATGCTGATTATCCAATTTTATAAACTTTTCATATGTACTGCAATGATACAGCCGTCTAATCGGGCTAATGTCAACTTAGTTAAATGCTGCATTGAAGTTTATATATGTACTAGTATCCACGGCTACCATCCTCGCGAGCACAAGCGCTACATATCAACTTACGCATCTGATATTGCTAACACTCATGTGACTGCTCGCATCGTTATGCAAGTGTTAACAACTCGTCATATAGACTTATGCGAATTTTGAACATGTTATCTTTCTGTGAAAGGTTTGTAGATATCTTCAGTGTCATTTCGTAATGTTTCGCTAATTACAACACACAGACCTTCATATCCGAAGCTTAACATACGTCGATTCCCTATGTATATTCCGAATTTCTTTTGTTTGCAATCTAAAAGAACTTTTTACATTTGATGATTACATTGGTTGGTGTCACTTTTCCAATGATTTGCTTCCCAGTGACACAAGAACCTGGCCGATGTTGACCTCTACATTTCATGTTTACATTAGTAATGAAAGTATTGTATAAACATCTTTGAACTATTTGTTACCATTCATGTAATGCGATAGAAAGCGAGCAGTTAGGCTGTAAAGAGAAGAATAAAATGCTGTGATTGAAAAATATTACAATAGCTGTACAAGCCAACACGTGAAATTTTGAGGAAATGCCTATGTTCAGAGAATGCGAAGGCACCATGGATATCGTGTGGGACCGTGGTGGCCTGGTGTCTATCAAGGAGGAGGACAGAGAAAGGTGAGCGATAAAAACTGTGGCCTGTGCGTCTGTGTAAACTGCGTGTGCTCCGGCGCAGGTACGTCGCTCTCCTGAAGTCTCTTCTGGCACCTGATTTTTCTTACGCTTTGTATGCCACCGAGTACGAAGACACTTCATTCGAAGGTAAGCATTTATTACCCGAACAGAATTTCATGACAATATTAGAAAAACTGGCAAAGTGAAGAGAAGGGCACAAGTAACTATTTAGCAATCCTGCCAAACCGCAATAATTCTACAGTGCATAAGTGCATACGAATACAATGTACTCAAAGATGAGAAATACAGAAATACTTTAACTGTTTGTATTTATCTATCTATCTATCTATCTATCTATCTATCTATCTATCTATCTATCTATCTATTTACTATATATCTATTTATATCCCCGCCTACGTCTTGATGTTCTCGCGATCACCTCCGTAATTTGGGGTAGACCAAAATTATGATGGGAGGGTAAGGAGATTTGATCATTATGACTGATTAGTCATGCCATAAATATTCTGAAAACCCTATCGCGTATGACATCGTACTCTTTCCTCCAGATACGTGTGGCACACATCGTTATACCCTGGGCAGAGGTATGCGGGTATGTGCCACAGCTATTCGACAATTTATATCTACCAAAGAATGGCATGAACAAACATTGGTCATTTAAGTAAGGAGCGTTAAAGGGCCAATCAATAAGCTCCAACTTTTTTTGCACCGCCCAAACAAGCTCGGAAATTCGTAGAGTAGCTCAGAGCGATCGCGTTTTTTAAATATTACACAGTTGCGCGCTGCGCAGAGCCTCCATTCCGAAAAACAAGTCCCTCAATCCTTTCTTATGGCTGACCAATGCTCCTTCCTCGCGCAGTGACGATAACTCGGCGATTGGCGACGTGACACAGCACGCATCTCGTCGATTTTTCTAAACCAGGCCTCAACAAACAGTAGCGAATTCAATGACATTTCCAGTTCCTACCCACACCTACAAAAGATCCGTTCAATGATACAAATTGTGCAGCTCCCCATAGGCTCCTTGTATCAAAATCCGTACACGCCACTGGCCCATTTTTTGGTAGGGAGCATATTTTCACGGAACCTGTTGATCAGCATACCCGCTATTGAACGCATTATTTGTGTTTTGTGTTGTTGCTCCCAGGTGGCGTGACAGTCTGCTCTTGAAAAATCGAGCTCTCAAAAAATCGGGCCAACTTCATGTCCGGGTTTTGAAACGGAGTTTTGCTGCAAACGTTGTCAGCTGCAAATTGAGCGACTGGGCTGCGGTCAAGCACCAACTCCGGGTAAACAGTAAACAACCAGGCATCACAGTAATTGGAAGTGCGTTGCGATTGATCGGGTTCACCGAGGACGTCAATATCTGGCGTCTTGTACATGACTGAAGTGGGTGAAGTCAGAACGATGGTACGCTTTCCCCTCCCTCTGAAGGAGAAGGGTGGCGAGGCCATGCTAAAATTTTAAACCAGCTGAAAGTGATAAGTGATGTTCTAGACCCTGTCTCTTCTTTAATTGTCAAAATTCTTGCGGCAGCTTGTTGACGAAGTAAAAGTGCACATATTTTTCTTGATAAGTGTTTTTCATTTTTGTGGATGTTTACTGGTCCTTTAAGAGAAACAGCTATCAGCGACTTTACCAGAGGAAAACAAAGAATATGTGCCATGGTTTTAGCGGAAATCAAAACCTAATCATTCCGAGTGGAAATAAAGCATTCTACCTTGTGCCACACCAGACCTCAGAACTCATTTGAAAAAAGATCCTATGAAAATGTACTGTTGGCTAACATCTCACTAATAGCGTCTCGCCACAGCGGGCGTACGTCTGCTGTGGTTGCCCTGCTGTGCATAAAGCTTTATAAACAGTACACATATAAACACACACTTAAAAAGCATTACAGCTATTAACTAAAAGGCCAGATAGACATAGACATAGCAATTTATTTTCTGTTTTTCGTGTATTGTGTTTCACTGAATGCTACAAACTCAAAGTGATGGTTCTTATTTATAATCGTATAAAACAAGGTTTTGCATCATTCAGCAATATGTACCTCACTAGTCACATTGAATATAACTTACGAAGGACGTCACTTGTTTCAGCACGATCTAGAACAAATTAAGGTACCCAAACACTTGACCATCAAATTGTAGATATATGTAGCAGTTTACCTTCTGTAGTAGAATTATCACAGATAAACAGATCTGTACATCATTTTAAAAAGAAAGTAAGATTACTCTTCGATCCAGCATGAAGTGCTTGATGCAATGTGTTTTGCCACTTGCGATGTATACTTTTGTTCACCAGGTTGTACTTCTCTGCGTTTCATTTGTTAAGCTACGCACATTGGTAGCTCCACTTGAATTCTGAATTATAATAGATACTATTGCATCTTTTCATTCATTAAATCTATTCACAACTTTATTCTGATGGACATATCAACGTGAAATGGTTTTTAAAGATTTTCGTAATTTTATAGAAAAATTTCTTGAAATTCTATGCCTTCTCTACAGTGATGCTGATGAACTGTGCTGTACTAGATGTTTTTCGCTTTCCTCACCACTGTCCTTGTTTTTGTTCTGGTTTTATGGTTTTTTGGTTTTTTGTTCATGAAACTGTGTACACGAGTATATGTCTCACTCCTTGTTTTTTGTTTTCTTTTTTTGTTCACGAGTTGGGTTATAGGCATAGTCAGGAAACTGTTTCGTCTGTTCTCTTTTTCCTCATCTCGGTGGCATGTAACTGTTGTGTACACATGCCAGAATAAAGTATTATTATATTATTATAATATATGTACATCAACAATACAGTCTCCACGTCAATTTAGCGTAAATTGTACTTCACCACCAGTCACTGAAGTTGGTCTACGTTTTAACAAGACTGTTTGTTGCCAGAGTTCTTACGGCTACAATGGGATACCGAAATAAAATTGAAAAAAAAATCACGAAACTAGCAAATTTCGCTCGGAAGATTCGGCTGTTACGGTAAACACTTAATTTTTTGTATTTTTGACCATTTCGCTGTATTTTCGATGAATGGTCACCACGCGGCGCCTGCAGGTGAATGCGAGTCATGAAGTAACAATCGCCAAGGCACATGCAGGATGCTCGTGTTCCTGTCCCAATCTTCCTTTTCTCCACCTCTTCTTCCCTCACACTCCCTCGTCCACGAAAGCGCTAATGCTGTTCCCTGCCACGACGGCCTTGTGGCTAACAATCTCGCGCGCCCTTCACGCTGGCCGTCCCATCACCGGCGAGCATCACTTTAAGTGTACCTTCCCTTGACTGGAGTCCAATCGAAGCGCCACACCCCACTCAGTGCTTTGACGCAGGAGGTGGCGGCGCGAATTGACGGGGACCTGGCCGGGGCTAGTGAGGACGCAAGTGTTTACTGACTGGTCCGTCCTGCTTGATGGCTCAGCTGCAGCTGCCTGCATAGTCCCTCAGTTTGGCATAGAGTGACAATGCCGCATGCGGTAGTATGCATCCTCAACAACAGGTGAGGTAGTTGGGCTTCTGTTGGCTGCCGGCCTCTTATGTGAGTCGTCAGCCATCCCGCAAACCGCAGTATTCTGCGATTCAAAGCCTGCCCTGAGCCAGCTTGCGTGGGAGAAACGTGGTACGCTCCTGGCTAAGCGCACTCCGCGAAGCCTACTTGCCCTTCAAGAGCATGGCTGTGACATTCTGCTTTAGTGGTTTCCTTCACACGCCGTCATCGCGGGAAACGAGGGTGCTGACGAACTTGCTAAAAGAGCGGACTCCGCGAGACCCCGCTAATGTACTACGTCAGCTCCTTCGACTCGGCATGTAGAAACCTTCACCGGGAGTTAACGCGGGGGCATCCTGACAGTCGCGTTGCCGCAGAACGCCTCCCTTTTCCCATGCCAGTGACTGGTTTCACCCGCCGCGATCGAGGAGACTTCCTTGTCCTAAGGACCGGCTCCGCTGAATGTCCAGCTACATGGAAGCATCGTCTGCGAGGCGCGAGCACTCCGAACTGCGCTGACTGCAGCGCGTATGAAACGCTGTCTGACCTCTTGTGCAAGTGTTCTGCTCTTGGTGATGCGCGCCAGTAGCTCGTCGAGAAATAGCGTCTTATCGGACTGCCATGTGTGACCGTGCCGGACATCCTATGTCCAACCAGCTACGAAGACCATCGCCGCTCTGCTCTCGCGGCCTTACTCAATTTTATTGAGAACAGCAACTTGACCAAGCCACTTTCATAAGGTGGTCGCCACGTAGAATCGTGTCCTCTTCTAATCACGCAGTTTTCTTTTAGGGGCGATGCTGCTTAATATAACCTTGTGACTAGTCACGCGTTATTGAGAGAAGAAGAAAAGAGAAAGAAAAGAAGGCAAAAGAAATGAATGACCATTTCTCATCTCAATTCCTCGATGGCGTTGTTCTTACACTACTCTCCGATTGGCTGCTGCGCCTGCATTGCCGATGAGTGCCTCTATCAGTCACCTGGATATTCACGTTACGTGGCGGATCGTTGGTGGAGCATGGATTAAGCAAAACCGCGGGTACGTTGATGACGCTTGCGCTCGGCTTCTTAGGCTCACATTTCATCGGCGTTACCAGTGCGCCGCTGCATAGTGCGCGAACGAGTGCCTCTCTCAGCCTTCTGGATAGTCACCATATGCGGCGGGTTATTGGTGGGCCATGAACGAAGCAGAGCGGCAGGCACGTTGAAGACGGTTGTGCTCGGCTTCCTTGGCTCGCGTCTCGTCGGTGTTACCCACACGCCATCTGCATTCTCGAACGTGATTGTATGCAAGGAAGCATGTACAGATAGACGGACGCACGAAGGGATGAACGATTTGTCCCCTCATCATCATTCACATCCATGAATAGGCTATGATTTTTTCTGCTCCTTGATGTAACCCCCCAACCTTCTTCTACCTTACACAATTTCTTCACTTTCACTGCCCTTCAATCCGCGTTCCCCGTGAGTGTATCGGTTGAGATTTCCACACGCAGTAGACA